ACAAATATATTGATGTTAATTATAATTACAAATCGCGATATTTGTTACCAGGCTTCCAGAACTGCGAGACGGTTTTATCAGGATGTTTTTATTGCGCCAGCAAAATATTTACGCGAGCGAGTGTGGAAAATTATCGATTGTAGGAAGTGGATACTATGTTATTGAACTTACGAGACAAGATTACTTGTGGCTTGCTTCCTGTGAGAAATTCTCGAGACAGAACTGTGGCCTTACCAAGAACTCTTATTACGATTCACTTTAGGATCAAAAATGAATCGTTGTGAGACAGCGCTACATGAAGTGTATATCACCATCCCGCTTTTTTGTCGTTACGAACCTATACTTCGCGAGAGTGGTTGGACGATGCTGAGACCAACGATAAACAAATTGCTCCTAGATACACTGCCAAGGATGTAGCCGAGGCCATTAAATTGATTTCTCGTGGGAAATCCCCTGGGCACGATGGTCTCAGCATTGAGCATCTTCAGTACGCGGGTCCTCATATCTCTAGAGTATTGGCAATGCTCTACACGCTGTGTGTAAGACACTGTTATTTGCCTGGGAGTTTTATGAAAACTATTGTTATCCCTGTAGTCAAAAATAAAGCTGGGGATTTGTCCAACTCCAGTAATTATAGACCAATCTCCCTCGCGACTATTGTTGCGAAAGTGTTTGATAGTATGCTTAATGCACAGTTAAACAAACATGTGTGTCTCAATCACAACCAATTCGGCTTTAGACCAGGGTTATCAACTGAGAGCGCGATACTGTGTCTTAAGCATACTGTCAAATATTACGTAGATAGAAAGACACCGGTTTACGCTAGCTTCTTAGATTTATCTAGGGCTTTTGACCTGGTGTCCTATAAAGTTTTATGGAAGAAGTTGGAAGCCATAAAACTACCTCCAGAAACCATACGTATACTCAGATACTGGTATGGAAACCAGGTCAACAGCGTTAGATGGTCGGGTACTATGTCGGATCAGTATACGTTGGAGTGCGGGGTGAGACAAGGAGGGTTGACCTCGCCAACGCTCTTCAACGTGTACGTAAATGGGCTTCTCGATGTGTTGGGCAAAATGCATGTAGGATGTCACATCGACTCAGTGAGTGTAAACAATATAAGTTATGCTGATGACATCGTTTTGCTCAGTGCATCGGCTTGTGGCTTACGTAAATTACTGGCTGTGTGTGAGGAGTACGCCGTTCAACATGGGCTTAAATACAATGTTAAAAAAAGCCAATACATGGTGTTCGAACCCAGCTGTTACAAAGTGTCTGAAGTGCCTCCCATCAGTCTGAATAGTATTCCACTAGAAAGGGTGAGGAGTTTTAAATATTTAGGACATATTGTAACGGCTGACCTAAAGGACAATATGGACATCGAGCGGGAACGGAGGGCCCTGTCCATAAGGGCTAACATGATTTCCCGTAAATTCGCGCGCTGTACGAAGGATGTTAAAATAACATTATTCAGAGCATACTGTACATCTCTATATACATGCAGCTTATGGAGGCACTACACGCAGAGGACCTATGGGTCCCTCCGAGTCCAATATAATGACGCGTTCCGGGTGCTGGTGGGGCTGCCCCGCTTCTGTAGCGCATCAGGGATGTTCGCTGAAGCGCGCGTCGATTGTTTTTATACAAGCATCCGCAAACGAAGCGCATCTCTGGTGCGCCGGGTGCGGGCCAGCCCCAACCCTATCCTTAAGCTGATAGCGGATAGAAACCAATGTCCGTACTTGAGACACTGTTGTGAAAAACATATTTCCAGCAGTGTCTACTATGTATAATATTTTATTGTTTTTGTGTGTTTTGTGTATACTAATATTAGTTAATAAGAGTGTGTATACTAACAAAAATGAGTTTTTATTACTTCCAATAAATAAAATTATTATTATTATTATTATACTGAACTGTAATAAGAGTTCATGGTGAAGCCACTGGTCTCCTTTAAGTTGAGGGTCAAGTGATGTCATAATTCGTAACGCTCACTAAAAGCGTTTTGGCGAATTTACATGCTTTCAAAAATTCTTACGTACCTTCAATAAGCCATTCCAAACCAAAACGACTCTGTGAAGCATGGCATCTGCAGTTTGAGAATTACAAGAATTTATAAATATTATTGTGAATGCAACATACACCACACCTACCCAGTGAAGAATATAGGAGGGTTTTTACCATAACGCATGAATCTCACTTCAGTAAATACCAAATTAATGTTTTAATTAAGTACCATATTATTGCGAACCGATATATCTTTTGTTACTCGTGAAAATGGACTTCAAAAAAAGAGGAGACTCTCAATTGGACTGTATTTTTTTGAGTATGTTACACCGAACCGATTTCGATAATTCTTTTTTTTTGGAAAAGGGGTATTCCACCTCCAAAGGAGGCAAATTAGGGGATGAATCCGGTTTATTGGACTTCCCCTGGTTTCCGTTAACCGATTTCAATAAAACTTGGATGTACATAAACTTAAGAGGGCTTTTTTTTGTATAAAAATCTGCAATTCTGTTTTTTGTAGTCTCTTTTATGTAAGTACTTTTTTTGGCGCATTTTTTCAGATTTGTCATGATTTTTCTACCTTTGTTACTCGCAAATTGTTTTATCAGTTCTGCTTGTACATCTGTGCAGCAAACTGGGGTGCAATCTAAACCTTTTAATGACCTGATTGAACTTAATTAATGAGTTCAGATAATACCGGAATTAGTACTCTTATTTAACATGAACTTTCGTGAGTTCTGCATACTCTCTCACCTAAGGTTGCTGTGTAATTCTTGTAAATTGTAGAACGTGAAAATCTTTTTATATACGTGAGGCGCACTATTAGTTTCCGGAATGAATAAGAAAAAAACACTGTTTAAAAGGTCAAAAATGAATTTATTGTTTCTCAAAATATCCTCCGTTAGAGTTAATGCACTTTTTCATACGAATGAACCAATTTTGAAAACATTTATGCCACTCCTCCGTGACTATCTCTGAAACATATTTTTCACTCTTCGACAGCCTCTTCAGGTGATGAAAATCATTGACCGCGTAAATGGTTCTTAATTTTTGGAAATAAATAAAAATCACAAGGTGCCAGGTCGGGACTGTATGCGGGATGGCTCATAAGGTCAACGTTGTTCACCTTCAAAAATTCATTTGTCTGTCTGGCCGTGTGAGAACTGACATTATCGTGGTGCGAGATGGTACGGCGTTTACGGTTATTTTTACGGAGTTTGTCAATAACTTCCGGCAAACAAATGGTCGAGTACCAATCACTATTCACGGTATAACTATTCTCCAAAGCAACAGTAGCCACGTGTCCAGTTTTACGCTCGGTTGCTGCTTTGTTTTGGGATCGTAACTATAAGTCCATGTTTCGTCACCTGTTATTACGTCCCACACCAAAGTTTACGCCCCTTCGTTGAATCTGGTAAGCATGTCATTGCACCAAGTGACGCGATCCGTTTTTTGAGCCTCAGTCAAATTGTGTGGGATCCACCGAGAGCACAGCATTTTCACGACCAAATGTTTGTGTAGTATTAATTATATTTGACTCATGCCTATGCCTAACGATGCCCGAATCTCACGGTATGTCACATGCCTGCCTGTTTTGATCATACGGCGCACAGCATCGATGTTATTGTTGTTCACTGCAGTGAACGGGCGACCATCACGAAATTCGTCACTGAGATTCACACGACCGCGTTTGAATACTGCAAACCAGCTATAAATAGTCGTCTTGCATGGTGTTTCATCGCCAAAAGCAGTTTGAAGCCAAGCGATGCTCTGCTGAGCTGTTACATTACACTTAAAGTCGTAGAAAATCATAGAACGAAAATTTTTCAAATGTTGTAATTACTTTTTAAATATTGTTTATCTATGTGGCCAGTTCTGGAAACTTATAGTGCGCCCTATGTAGAACTAGAAAACAAGGACTTTTGATAATCTTTGTAGATTACCATTTAATAAGTGAAGCAAAACCTCGCATCGTTTTTCATCATCGTTTCCGATGTTAGAAATATCGCGGTTAGTTAAAATTGTTACTTATCAACCATAGATTCAGATTACACTACTGATTTCAAAGTTTATCTTGTCATCAATCTAATCAATTATTTATGGGAAATAGTGCCTATCACTACAGTTTTCCCACTGCCCCGCAACAATACTTCTATTGTTTTACATTCATCATGCATAACGCTGCTACCAGGCGCTCATGGCTTTGAAAGAATTCGATTGAACCCTTTTATATTTCTTTAGAGAGCAGCAAGACAACTTCACGTTGCATTTGTTATCAGAACGATAAGATTTTGTCTTTAACAAAATTAAGAAAATCTTTGAATACAGAATACTAAACTGTAGTTATACAAACATGTTTGCTGAAATATTTATCAGACAGCTTCAGATTTAATAATTATATCGGGATAAAAATAATTTATATATTTATTCTAGAAATTTTATTCGATCATTCATATTTGCTGTTCATGATTCATAATTTTACTGCCTCGTGGCCTAACGGTTACCATGTCGCCATTACCGCGCCGGACTGCCAGGCAGAGGTCCCACGTCTCGTGAGTTTGGGTGTAATTTGTAGTTGTCTATGTGTGTGTCCATGGCACGCGCGACACAGGGTTTCCCTAGTGCGGGGCTATATTGAGTGTGTGCGTTATTATACGTATATTAAAAAAAGTAGATGACTTGGTAGAGCACTTACTTACCTTCTGTCTCCTTTCCCTCCGGCAATCACAATCTTTTATGACACAAAACATGTGAAATCATTCAAAAACGGGAGTTGAACGATGACAAAAACCTTTCTTTATAGGAATCCCGTGCGTGTCCAACACAGGAACATTATATATATATATATATAATGTTATATATATATATATATATGTAGCTAATGATGACGAAATAAATTGTTCCATGGTAGAGCACTTTCGAAGTAGATTTTTTGGTAATATCTTCTATAGCCACTTATATTGTATGTATAACAACACAACACGTTTTTTCTCTTTTACAGCCATGTCCCGCGTTTGCATAATCGGAGCTGGAGCCGCTGGACTCTGTGCCGCGCGTCATCTCCTTGTGGAACCCTCAGTGGGTCAGGTGGATATCCTGGAGCAAGCTGGGCAGCTAGGTGGCACCTGGGTGTATACAGAGAAAGTTGGCTACGATGACTTTGGGCTGCCTATTCACACCAGCATGTACAAAAGTTTAAGGTGAATATTATAGTTAAGTAGTCACTTTGAAGCTTTTATCAATGTAGCCTCGTCCATTTTTCGCTGTGTACGTTATTTGGCACTAGATAGAGTTTTCGAATCTGTTTTAACCGACTTTAAAAAGGAGTTCGAAACTTCACAATTCGACTATTGTATTTTTTAAGCGATTGCGACGTCATTCGTGAACTGATTTTGATGATTCTTTCTTGTTGGAAACAGGATGCCTTATTAATGGTCCCATTCAAATTTTAAAGAAAATATTCATGCATTTTCCGTTAACCGATTTCAATAATACTTGGCATATAGATACGATTCCAATGAAAATAAAATGTTATGGTAACCTAGATCTAATCTAATAGTGGAAAAGACAGAAGAGAAGAGAAAAAAAGACAGAAAGAGAGAAAAGACAGAAGAAGAGTTGTGTTTGGGCTCATATTATTCGTTTTCACGAGGACTTCCACATGAGTTTCAGGTATCGTTGAGACGACCGCGATAACAAACATTTGAAATCGATTTTCTTATATACAAAAGTTATATTTAATAGTACAAATAATATTTCGTAGCTGCTTCTTGTGAAAGAATTCGTCCAGGCAAGTACTGCCATTACTGCGTTCTAGTTTGGAAGGGTGCAGGTGAAATTACAGGCACATGGGACCTGTCAACTTATGTCTCTGGGTGACAGGTATAGATCTTTACTATTTAAAGCTTTGAGTCGTTCGTCCCGTCACTTGGGTTTATATAAAAAAACGAGATTCTATGAGCATAACTACTTGATACATACTAGGATAGGCAGTGACCATGAACTTCCGCTCGCTTACCTCTTTACTGATCTCGTTCGCCTTCATCCTTCCTCCTTCCATCTTCCATACCTGGCCTTTATGACAAAATGGAAGATTGAAGCCAGTTGAGAGCGCTACATAGTCGAGTTTTTTGTGCATAGTGTTGTCGAATCCCACATGGGACCAGTAAGGTTTAATCCGGCGTACAATATCCCTCCAAACATCGGCTGATCGCCTAGTGTTTAATACAAAGTTGCCCATTGTAATACATCTGCCACATATTCGGATTTATGGCCTGTAACAGTACAATTATATCCGCCTCCAATAGTGTATATACATATAAAATGTGTACTAATGATGCAACTGTACCTCTGCTTAAGTGCCTCTCGCGTTTTCACATCTGTTTCTGTTTCTGCTTCCGCAACTTTTATAAAGGAACTTTTATCGGAAGTTATAACGTTTGCGATGGATAAGCACGAGCGCGCGTTATTCTTGGCGACGAGACGTGTGCGTCTTAGCAGTTTTGTGTTAAATGCAATATCAAACCAAAGACAAGCCGTGTTTGTAACTATTTCATTGGGATCTTTATAGTATTTAAACTGCCTCCGTGGCCGAACGGTTACCATGCCGGACTGCCACGCAGAGGCCCCAGGTTCGATTCCCGGGCCGGGAGAAATATTTGTATGGCCTACATTTATTTCTCTCGTGAGTTTGGGTGTAATTTGTGGTTGTCTATGTGTGTGTCCATGGCACCCGCGACACAGGGTTTCCCTAGTGCGGGGCTATATTGAGTGTGTGCGTTATTATTATTATTATTATTTACATTTCCGCTTCCGCATCCGCTTCCGTTTCTGCTAAGATTTTCTTTCGACATCTGGTTCTGTTTCAGTTTCCATTATGTCATTTCCGTTGCATCACTAGTGTGTACCTAAGTACCTGAGCGAGGTTACATTGACAACTTTAACAATTTGCTCTACGAAATAACGATTAATTAATTGCAATTAAATATCTTTCCTTTTACTATATGAAGTTCTTTAATCAACTACTATATTATTATTGGTGTATATACAAGATGTTAACAACTTACGACACCTTTCCGATAGTCCGGTCGTAGGGTATCAAATACAGCGTGTTGCTATTCTGGAAACGTTTGATTGCTACACATAATTTAATGCTGCCCTGGTAGATCTGACCCAATTCCGTTAATAGGGAGCATTTGTCCGCTTGTATGTCATTGACGTCATGTGTCATAAACGTGAGATATGGCTAGAGAAATTCCGATAAGAAGGTTATAACTTGCACAAATTAATTGATAGTGTTAATACAGATTCGAAAACCATCTAACTATAATTAAAATAGATGGACACAGTATGAACGGTGAACTCCGTTACTAGCTACAAATTTAGTGTAATAATCGCTTGGAATAAAAAATCCTTGAAAAAAAACTGTACAGTCTACTATAATTTCATAAAACAGCTTCAATTGCGCAGAAACGCTATTAAGATTTTGTTTACTATTAAATAGCAATGTTTTTGTGAGAATTTTCCTTCCACACTTTTATCGCAAAAAAACTGTAATTGATAATAGCACGTGGTTCAAGGTAGAGCATTAATATTAAGTGTTTACTCGAAGTTACTCATAATGATTTGCGCCAGATATGAGGTCAATCAATGCTGAAGAATGCACTCTTGATAAAAATAAATATTTAGTCGAAATTTATCATATCTGTAAAACAATTCTGCAGCTATGGTACGATTTTTATAATATATCTATGGATACCATTGACTTACATGGACGTCGGGTCCGCGCTAAAAAGTGTCCGCACTTGTAAGGCGCTAAAATCGTATACAGAGCGCCAAACTCCGATTTAGTCTTCATTTGTTCTACGGACAGCGCGATACTACGATGACATAACAATTTAAATTTCGAATAGGTTGACTTGGGACATTTTTTTCGTGGTTTTTGTATTAGACCCGTCGTCCATTTATTTGTAAGTCAATGATGGATACGATCTTCTTCATTTTGTCGTATCGATGGCATACAGTATAATGCCTTACCATCGTCGTGGTGAAAAGTTTTGTTAATCGGCGTTAGGTACTCACCAGTTGCTTGTTGTTTATAATACTTTTTTCCCAGTTTTTTGTGTCCAGGATAAAAGTTCCAACCGCACACCCGAACTATTAATGATGTAATTAATGTTTTTGTTTTGTTCCGAGAAAGGCGTGGATTGGATAAAATAGACTAAGTATCAAAATATAACTTTTTTTATGAAAAAAACTTACCTCAAAAGTTCTTGGAATTACATCTATTTGCCAAGTTTTTTTGAAGTCGATTACCGGAAAGTGTGCGAAACGGATTCATCCCCTACTTTGCCACCCTAAGAGGTGGAATATTTTCCTCAAATTTAAATGGGACCTGTACTAAGGTAAACCCTCTTTCCATCAAAAAATTCACAAATCACAGAGTTATCGCGTAACGTATATACAAAAAATATATATATTTTTGAAGTCGGTTAATAGAATTTAATCACAGCTTAGGCCAAACTCAATACGAAGTAAAACTAGTCGTGTTAATTTAATCGTAATTATCTCTATAACGCAATCTTTCTTCACAGAACAAACCTTCCCAAAGAAATCATGGGTTTCCCAGACTTCCCAGTGCCTGAGAGCGACAGGTCGTATCTCCCCGCCAAGGAAATGTTGGCGTTTCTGCAGCTGTATTCTGATAAACACGGAGTCACTGAACACATTAAGGTACCTTGAGCCTTTCGTTAATGTATGTTAAGGCTGCTTTAATAAAAAAAAATTTTAGTAATAAATAAATAAACTTAAGTGTCTACACAAACTCAAATGGCTTTGGTTGATTCAGCATAACAATGAAAATGTTGAACGAATCACTTAGGAAAAAATATATAGTAAAATTGAGGATATGCACTTATTACTACATGGTGTGAAAACATGATTCTTAAAAATGTTCACGATAGAAAAAAAAACACAAACTATAATAATAATAAATTTATTTGCCATAATAATAATACAACATGCACAGTGTACAGTAAGTAAGTATCAAAGAATCAGTAGATATGACCGCTGGTACTTAAAAAATGAAAACCTGTGCTGTAAATACCAGCAAACCTTCCAATGGCTTAGTAAAATGCGCAATTTATTACGTTATTTTATATATACATTATGCAAAAACAGCAATAAGAACTAGTAGTAATTTGTGGAGACAGCAAATAAGCAAAATTAAATTATTTTATTTATTTATTTATTTATTTATTAAACTTTATTGACCACAATACAAAGGGTACAAAAGGCGGACTTAATGCTAAAAGCATTCTCTACCAGTCAACCTCTGAGAAAAACGAAATTCACGAACGCGGTAAATAAACAGAATATTACGGTTATATTAAAATAAATGAAACAAATTCATAATTATACATATAACAAACTAACCTAATACCTTACTTAATAATATAATACATACACTTACATACATACAAATATACTATACATATACAAAATACTTACAATAACAGAATATGATGATGATTATTGCTGTGACAAACAATTTAGAAGATGCTCATGAACATTATTTTTAAAAGAAAATATATTAGGAGACCGTCTGATGGCGTCCGGTAGAGCGTTCCAGAGCCGTATCGAGTGGAGAGTAAAAGAATCTGACATGAAGCCAGAATGAAAGAGAGGTACAGTGAGTGATAGTGAATTCATGGAACGAAGTGGGAGGTCATGAGAGTCACAGAGATACTGAAATTTACATTTCAAGTATTCTGGATAGTGGGGATTGAAAAGAACGGAGTACAACGTACAGAGAATTCTTTTCTGTCTGCGTTGACGAATAGGGAGCCATTTAAGTTGAGACCTAAAAGAAGAAACATGATCAAATTTCCGAAGGCAGAAAATGAAACGAATAGCATTATTGAGCAGGCGGTCCAACTTGTCTAATAGATTTTCATTGAGATCGGGATAACAGACATCAGCATAATCAATGAGTGGGAATATAAGGGAGGTGACGAGCAGGGTCTTAGTACTAATGGGAAGAAAATGTCGAAAGCGGTTTAGAAAACGTAAAGAAGAAGTAACCCTACGACTAACCTCGGACACCTGTAAGGTCCAGCTTAGTGAGGAGTCAATGTAAAGACCAAGGTTTTTTACACTACAACTGAATGGAACAGACGAGTTCTCATAAACTACTTGAATGAGCGAAGTATGGTCAATCTTGGATATCTGTTTAGATCCACCTAAAATAATTGCTTGACACTTGAACGGATTAACAGATATCCCAAAATTAGTTGACCACGCACTAACACATTGTAAATCGCTGTTAATGTCAGAAATCGCTGAATTAATGTCCTCGGCAGATGCCTGCGCGTAAATCTGCAAGTCATCAGCATAAAAGTGGTAAGAGCAGCTAAGTGAGAAAGAAAGAAAATTAATAAAAAGTGAAAATAAAAGCGGTGACAAGATTCCACCCTGCGGAACACCAGCTGCCAAATCACGCCAATCGGAGACTTTAGGACCCACGCGAACAGCTTGTTGACGATCACGAAGGTAGGACGAGAACCAGTCTAGTGATAATGGGGAGAAGTTAAGCGACTTCAGGATGGCAAGCAGAATGTCGTGGTCTACCATGTTAAAAGCGTTGGAAAAGTCGACGAGAACTATAGCAGTGACCAACTGCTTCTCCATGCCCAGCCTAATGTCTTCCACAACTTTGAGTAGGGCAGTTGTTGTGCCATGTCCCGGGCGAAACCCAGATTGGAAAGGGGTTAGAAGGTTGTTAGAAAATGTGTAGGAAGACACTTGCTTATGAACAACAGATTCTAGAATTTTAGACAGGAAAGGAAGAATAGAGATAGGCCTAAAGTTATTAAGTTGTATAGGAGAAGATATTTTTGGCAAAGGTATAGTAAATGCCTTACGCCAGACACGAGGGAAATCACCATACTGCAAGGAGAAGTTGATGATATGGACAGTAGCAGGGAGAATTTGATCAACAATGCTGACAATCATCACTCTGCTCACCTCGTCACATCCTACGGCTTTAGACTTAATAGAAAAAATTATTTTACGCAAATCGTCAGCTGTAACTGGTGAAAAAGAGAAAGAAACTGAAGAAGAAATGGGCCTGGAAGCAATAAGTCGAATAGTGTTCGCCTTAATGAAGGGATCTAAAGAAGGAGCAGACGAGAAATGGCAGTTGAAGTCGTTAGGAGCAAAAGGGTAGGAGTCAGGTTGAGCAGAACATTTGCCTAAGCCAAAAGTTCTGAGAAACTTCCAGACATTAGCAGGAGAACAATTACTTACATTATTATAAAAATATTGACGCTTAGCTGCCCTCACCATCCCATTACACCTATTACGAGCAGTCTTGTACAGAGTCCAATTACAATCCGACCTATCGCGCTTGTAAACCCGAAACAATCGATCACGTCTAGTCATAGCCATACGAATGCCCCTGTTAATCCAAGGAGCAGGAGGCCGCTTAACCCTAACAGCCCGTAGTGGGGCATGAGCATCGTACAAATTGATCAAACACTGGTTAAGGTTGGAGATTTTCAAATCAACTGACGAAGCACCATACACCCCAGAGAAATCAAGGTCAGCGGCATCCTTCCTCAGCATGTGATGGTCAAGTCGACCAGAATTACAAATTAATTAATTAATTAAAAAATTACAAATTAATTAATTAAAATTAATCTGAATTGTATAATCTTTATAAATAATTAATTCTCTCACTGAAAGTGTATGTGTGTGTATGTGAGTGTGTTGCGCGCGGGTGTGTGACTTGCGTGTGTACTGGAAAAAGAGTGCGTATTTGATGTTAAAACTACTTCATTGAGCAGCATGAAGAAGATTTTCTATTTCTTCATATGACAGTTTTAGAAGCCATTTGGTTATCATATTCTTACACTCGTATTTATTTTTTAGACGATACGCTAAAATATTATTACTTTCGTTGTATAAGAATCGTCCCAAAAACTAAAAGAACTTTTGACTGAAAGAAGTTTTGCAATAACTTCTTCGGGAAATGACATTCACACGTCTACCGTATTGCAAAACTTACCTCAAAATTTTACGACAAATACGTTGTGTTCAATAGGTAATTTACATATACCAATGATTTTTTTGTACCAACTGAAATAAATACAACACATACAGTATACGACATTTTCAAATGACTAATTTCGTTCAAAAAAAAAGTGTTTTCTTCTGAAATATAACCGGTGTCCCTACCGCTCGACCTAAGCAACCGTATTAGTGCGGGAAAAATTTGGAATTCGAGCTCCTCAGCTCGACTTATTATTATTGATGCAAAGATCGACAGCGTCTGTAGCCATACCAGCGCCACCGCTCTTACCAACTGAACTATAGATCTGCAAAATCTGTAGCTCAGTTAGTAAGAGCGATGGCTCCGGTGAGACAACAGGCGCTGCTTCGAGTCTAGTTAGATCGAAGGCATTATTTTTTAAGTTCTTCGATCTTTATATCAATAACAATAACAAACTGAGATTTTAGTAGCAGTAGATTTCCTTGTGAAATAGTTCGTCCAGGGAAGTGCTGCCACCTTACCTATTCCTGCCGCCAGGCAGTAATGTAAGCATTACTGCGTTCCGGTTTATAAGGGTAAGGGTGTTGGTGAATTTGCAGGCACATGGGACTTGACATCTTATGTCTCAAAGTGAGGGGCGCAGTGCCCCTCAGATCTTTGCGATTTAAAGCTCTGAGTAGCACTGCAACTGTTATAGGCAGGCGGTAGCTTACCATCAGGCGCACGACTTGTTCGTCCCGTCACTTGATATTAAAAAAATGAAACTAGTGGGGTGTTTTCACAAAAATATATGAATATAATGGTAAAATAAATAAGGTGAATCTCACAAAACTTAGGGTCGTATTCTAGAACTCTACTCAATGCTCAAGTCAGGATTTGAGCAGACTTGAGTATGATTTCAACCACTGGAAATACGACCCTAATGGCAGAGACTTGAGTATGATTTCGAGTGCTTTAAACCATATTCAAATCCTGACTTGAGCATGTAGAGTTCTAGAATACGACCCTTAATCTTATACATCACGACGTATAGTTTTCATTTATCACATATTATGTCATGAATTTTAAGCATCTTTTATCCACTCTTAACTTTAAGAATGCTTTCACAGTTTAAGCACCACGTGCAGCTGGTAAAGCCAAAACAGGGTCGTTCAGGCGAGCTCTGGGACGTGACCTTCAAAGACATCTCGACTGGCGTTTCGGAGACCAGGGAATATGACTATGTTTTCGTTTGCAACGGCCATTACAATACGCCCTTTATTCCTCAGATACCAGGACTAAAGGAATTCCAAGGTACATATCTACAATAGCCCATTAAAAGAAAGACTATTTTTTTTAACTTTTACAAAGGAGCAATCTTAATAGAATCGAGTGTTACTAGCGTCTTTGTTAAAACCTGCAAAATATAGATATAATAAATAATAATCTATTCTAGATGTTAATAAAAATGAAAGATTTCAAACAATACTCTATTTTATTCACCAGGTGACGTGATGCACAGTCACGACTACCGTGTACCAGAAATATTCTCGGGCAAGAAAGTTCTTGTCGTGGGAGCTGGTCCATCTGGCATGGACATCGCTCTGGAGATCACCAGTGTTTCCCCCAAAGTCATACTCAGCCACCACCTGAAGGAGCAACTTAGAACTGTTTTCCCTGACAACTTGGTTCAGAAACCTGATGTGATTAGAGTTGAAGGGACTAAAGCGTTCTTCCAGGATGGAACTGAAGACGATGTTGATGTTATGTTCCTTTGCACTGGTGAGTTCTTTAAAACTTTGTTGTTATATTCTTCTTCTTAAGATACCTCTCCAACTAGTGAAGAATGACAGTCAGCTCAGCATATTTATCTGTATTTCTGGCGAGTCTAAACAGTTGGGCGGCACTTGCTATCCCAGTCCACTCTCGTATGTTCTTCAGCCACGATTTTTTTCCTACGACCAGCTTTCCTTTCACCAGCAACTTATCCCATCATTATCATTTGCAGAAGCTCGTATCTGTTATGCCTAAGTACCTAATTGTTATATTGAACTGTGACAAATAACATAAATTTCGAGTGTGTGTAGAAGATGATAAAATCAAGATCACCGTTTATTTTTTGTGTCTTTGTCATACAGGCTACATGTACAACTTCCCGTTTCTCCACGAATCATGCGAGATTGTTGTCGAGGATAACTGCGTGGAGCCTCTCTATAAGCACTTGGTCAATATTAACCATCCCACCATGTGCTTCATCGGAGTACCCTACTACGTCTGCGCCTTTGCAATGTTTGACCTTCAGGTAGATAGATAATTAATAGATAGCTTTTTAATAGCGCTTTCTTTTGCAAAGTCATATAATGTTATGTCTGTCACTATTTTTCATTAAAAAAAACTAATATTTTTCTTACCATAAATAACATTTTCATAATTTGTACTGTGACGTTAGCGTTAGAGTAAGAATGTTAATCTCTTTTAACTTACAGTTCAAAATCCTAAAGACTATATGATGCCAAGCCCAGGCTGCGGCTTCTGTTGTTGCTCAGCCTTCAGAATGACTGCTATTTGATTTTAGATTTGATGTCAGTGCCGAAAGTGCAAAATTTAAAATAACTTTTTTTTGGAAAGAATTGGTGATGATTAGTAAGTACTATAGTATTCAAGACATCTTTACTATTCAGGTCCGTTATTACGTGCGCGCGATCAACGGGACTTTTAAGATGCCAACCCCCGAGGAGATGACCGCACAATGGGAAGAGGAGAAGCAAGAACGGGCCGCACGAGGTTACACTAAACGGCAGGCGCATATGATGGGTCCTGATCAGGTAATTTTTATAACTCATATCTTTAATTGGGGTTTTCATTGTCAGGAAAAAATCAAGACGCGGGGCTATTTCATAAATACCCAGGAAACGAGACTTTTGAGACTAATTCAAAAGTAGGTTCCCATACTTATGTACACAGAACAAAAAATACAGTAGAAGTCGTTAGTTAACCTCACGCGCGTGCCAACCATAGGTCTCTAAGGGTCGTATTCTAGAACTCTATTCAATGCTCAAGTCAGGATTGCACTGGAAACACAAGCACTGGAAATACGACCCTAATGGCAGGAACTTGAGTATGCTTTCGAGTGCTTTAAACCGTACGGGATTTGAGTATTCAAATCCTGACTTGAGCATTGAGTACAGTTCTGGAATACGACCATTAGGACCCATGTAAGCTCAATCGGCCATTTTCGCTTTGTACGGTATGGTTGTATCAATTGTTTCTCGTAAATTCCATAAAATCGTAGAAAAATTAATTATTTTGCTGTTTTGGAGTGCAAAAATATTACCAATAATATTACCCGTGTATTTCATATCTATCTATATAGTCTTATTTAATAAATTTTCGATTTTCTGTTTATCGAAATCATTTTTTTTTTGTTACAAGAAGCTAAAGTAAAGCTTATTTATACCCGTGCAATATGGTCGCTTCTTTTTTGGAGAACTATATTAATAACTCCAACTTGTCGTGGTTCAGCAATTAACCGCTAGATGGCAGGACATTGATGCAATTATAGGTATTGGTGGTATTGAACTTTCAACGATATGCCAACATGGTAAAGTTAAAATTACATTAAAAATCCAGAATTTGTTTAATCTTTTTAAATTTGAAACTACGGCCAATCATCAAAGATTTCGTAGTGTTTCAAATTAACAATGTGTGAGTTTTGGCGACATCGATTTTTTTTTTCTTCCATGCTTATAAATGTAGGTATGGAAACTAGGTGTTTAATAATAAAAGATATTTTATGAAAGTTTTTGATTTTTGTAGTGTAACAATACACACTCTAAACACTCAAAGGTTACATTAAACATAATGTAATTTCAAAAAGAGAGGATTTCATTTTTGAAGGAGGAGGTTCTCAATTCGACGGTAATTTTTTCTGTGATGTGTGGTGCGCGTTACTCCGATATTTGTGAACCGATTTCGATGATTCTTTTTTTGTTGGAAAGACAATTCCACCTCTAATGATCAGACCACACAGAGGCGGCCGCGGAAGCGTTCCGGACGCGGGAATTTTTGTAATGTACGTTCATACGGACCCTGCCGCACTGAAGCGCGCGGCGGCCGCTCGTCTGCCGCGCGCATTTGCCCCAAATTAAGAAATGAATCCGGTTTATTGGACCCACTTTCCGTCAACCGTATTCAATAAAACTTGTCAAATAGATGCAATTCCACAAAATTTTTAAGTAATTTTTTTTAATGTTATAATTAATTAGTATCGTTCTTCAATCTCCACAGATTATTCCACCTTGATAATTCCACTTAGTGTTATCATGTCCATGCAGTGTCCATGTAACCAGAATAAACTAGAATAAACTAGATTTTTTTGGATACTGTTAATTACGTAACATGAGTCTCAAAAGTCTCGAATTCCCGAGGTTGACAATCTTAAGTCTCGCAAATGCCGAAAACCGTTGAGACTCTCAAAATTGTCGAAACCCAGATCACTCTGATGAAAACCCTAAGAAATATGTATCTCCGTCCATATTTTTTTTATATTCTGTCTTTAGGTTTATCTTAATTTGGCTCGGTTATTCTCGTCTACTTTCCACTGAGATTTTGACTTTCAGCAAGAAACTTCTTGTGTTCTGTCCAGAGATGGGTGATGGGTTAAAACCCAATCAACTCGCCTAGGTTTTTGCCCTAAGTGCCGTGTATTACTAATTTCGGTTTAAAAACTCTTTTTTAAACGATAAGGAGGTTTATTTCAATGCAATTTTTATATCGATTAATTTATCGATTTTCAAGTGAATCGATTCAATAGAAAGGGAAATCGAATAGTCTAGATCAGAAAGATAAACATTTTGTGATATTGGACATGAAACTATTTTTCCGGATTTAAATCGCGTATACTTATTTGGTATTTTGTTTGAAAAAACAAATATACGCGATTTAAATCCGGCAAAATACTTTCATTTCCTATGTGTAACAATCGCGAAAACCTAAGAACTCGATTTTGTGATATTATCATTAAATTTGAACAAAACTTGATTTACAACAAATAATTAATTGTAAATAGCTTTTTCGGGCATTAATAGATTTTAATCCGATTTAAACTCGGCGTTAACAAAGCCGGGTGCTTGCCCGTCTCTGGTTCTGTCCTTAACACTACTAATGTTCCTATTAACCTTTTTCCAAATTGTGACCTGAACACAGAACACAGCCTTAAAACCTTAAAACCCAGAACTTTTCTGTTACTTGCAATAAACGTTACTTATGGGAAATTAAACTATTATAATACTATATATGCAACCTCCATTGTCGCGTGGCTTGTACACCGGTTTTCATGGAGTCGCCATCTTTTAGGTCACGGGTTCCATTTTCGCCAGGTCAATGTAGACTAACTTTTCTATATTGTCTCGGGTCTCGGTGTATATGGTACCGTCATTATTTCCGATTTCCATAACATAAGTGCTTTAAACTTACTTTAGGATCAGAGCGGCGTCTGTGACGTTGTCTAACTAACGTTTCAAGCCCTACAGGTCCCATGATTGACTGATTGATATGCAACCTGTAAAGGACCCGAAACGTTGGTTTGTTTGAAAAATAAACAACATACGCGGTTTCAATCTGAAAAATAGTTTCATTTCCTATATGTAACAATCAGGAAAACTTGAGAACTCCACGTAAACGTTACTTAGTTTACAATTCTTGCGGAACAGTTCATAAAAATTTTAGCATCAGCAAATAAAGGAAACAAGGATAAACATAAGGAAATCGTAAATACTCTCTCTATAAATAGATATAACGCTATACATATTATACTTAAGGTCTTTCTCAGCGAATGCCATTACTTGGAGCTTATTTTAATTCTATAATAATATGATTCAATTTTTATAGTGTAACTCTGTTGCTTTTAAATTTGAATAAGATGGCCGAACTCCAATTCACTATCATTTTAATATAGATCGTTTGTTTTATTGTTTCTACTCATCTAGGTGTTTATAATTGTTGGCAAAACACAACTTTTTTCGTTAATAATTTTAATACATTCATCGCGTGTTCTCCTTATGTCGTGATGACCGATAATCGTGCAGTTTAAAGTGTCGTGGTTTGTGTATTGAAATGAAGTTAGCGGCCACGAATGCCGAAAAGACAGTACAAAGATCTTTATATGATTGAATTTATTGACTATCTATTATATTACAGAATTTCGACGACTCGGTAACTGAACCTGTGGCTCAGTTGATTAGAGCAATGCTACGACGAAAATTGTATTGTGTGTTCGATTTTTATATTCATCATCATTTAAATGAAGTTGCTCACATATACATATACTACAACACGATTAACTGTCGTTCACGACCCTTTTGACGTTACGACGACATACTGTCGTGACAATGGGAAAAACTACGACAGTCGTCAGACGATAAATAAAACGTCACTATAAAAATCTGACGACAGATAATCGCAGCTACTATTGTCGTCACGTTTTATTTACCGTTGTCTGCAAACAACAAGCAACTGCCGTTACGTGATATATTGTCGTCACGATCCAATGGGAACAGCTAGGCATGACTATCGATCAATGATAAAACAGTCCACGATACAGTCACGGCAGATATTCGTGAAATGGGAACAGGCTAGACGCGACTGTCGTTTGACGATAAATAAAACGTTACGTTGTAATGGGAACGCGCCCTACGATGCCAATTCCAGAGTTTCTTTCAGTTTCTTTTTTTTTTTCATTTTGCTTTAAAATATTGTATTAAGACAAGCTCCGAACTGTATAAACTTATAAACAGGCAGATTACTACGTCACCTTGGCTCTGGAAGGAAATGTCACCCCTCTTCCTCCTGTCTTCGCCAAGGTCCACAACGACAGCAGTCAGAAGTTCCTTGACAATCTAACTAACTACCGCCACGAAATTTATCGCATTATCGATGAGGACAACTTCACTTGTTATACTAGTTACTAAGATTCTATATTTCTGTAGTAAGTTCAATTTTTGGAATTTAGATGTTTTTTGTAAAAATGTTGTACATACAATGTTTGTACATTGTTTTCGAATGCTAAAAACACAGAACAATAAATAGAGTAGAAGTGGTTAGTTAGCGGCTGACGCGTGCCAACTATAGGTCTCGAAAGATCTATCTGAGCCTAGTCCGCCATTTTCGCTTTGTGTGTTATGGTCGTGTCATTTTTTCGTGCAAATTGTCTAAAATCCTAGAATAATGCTATATTGTGCAGTTTTGGAGTGCAAAAATTATAGCCGCACCAATAATATTATCCGTGGTGGAAAGTCTTATTGTAATTCAATTATTTCTTATTTTAATTTTCTCTTTATCGAAATATTTTTTTGTTACAAGAAATGAAAGTAAAACATGAACGCTTCTTGTTTGAAGAACTAAATAAATAACTCCAATTCGTCGTCATTCAACAATGAACCGCTAGATGGCAGCACATTGATGAAAATTTCGGTATAATATCAAAACCTCGTAACTTGTAATAATAGGTACCTAATGACGGTTTTGAACTTTCAACGATATGTCAAAACGGTAAAGTTTAAATTATATTAACAACCCAGAATGATTTTTAAATTTGAAACTACGGCAAATCAATATCAAGATTTTGAAGTGTTTTAAATTAAGCAATCGAGACTCAAGGCACTTCCATTGTTTTTTCTTCCGTGGCTAAAAATTACGCAATGGTAAAAGACATTAAATACTATCGTCGCTTTTTTTTTTAATGAAATGAAATTTTATTTGATTAATACATGGTGAACGAAAAATGGAACATAGTTTAATAGAACACATATTTAACCTGACTAGACATGCAAAAGTCTACTTAAAATTAGTTTTATTTTAATACTGCATGCGCAAGAAATAATCTGTCAATTAATAACAACAAAATAATAACTGTCAGTGTCAAACTATTAAATATTGTACATCATTATTATAGTATACATACATATTGTGTCAACATTTATGCATAAAATCAGTTACTTTGTAATAATTTTTGTACCTAAGCCAACTTTATGTTGTTTTTTGTTAAAGCATTATAAATTCGGACACGCATACCATTGCATTGATTTTTGAAATTAGACAATTTGAGTTTGTATACCAGTCTATTTGGGTCTCTTACACCTCTTTTTTTAATTAACATATTTTATTTGACCTTAAGATTGATTTTAAATGCCTATTTAAGAGCCTCATTCTCTTTAAAACGCTCTGTAGTAAATAAAAATTACTCTTTGACATTTTAAGGTTCTTTACTTCTCACCTACAGATTTTTATGTTATTCTTTGTGGTCGATATTCAGTAATAGTTTGGTAGGTTCGTCATGGAAGATAGTTGAACTACTTCTATTTATGTATTTACAAATATTATTGAGTACAACCAATTATACAGTCGTCTTGAACACTTATTTTTTTTAAATATAAGTTGTGTAACGGGGTACTTAGGTTCAGTAATAGTGAAAATGATTATTTTTTTGTAATAATAAAGCAGTTTATAGTGTTAGCTTGTCTTTATTCATGGAAAACAATACGCCCTTTTGGCGTAAAAAGCCACAAATGCAAAACTTTTCATCCCCTCTCATTTTACCATGGTTTTACAAACGAATTAAGCAGATAGATATTATCTAACTTTTGTATGCTTAAAGAGACATATACAAAATGTCATATACAATTTGTTATTCTCAAACATGCTCGAAAATGTTTGCATTATTACTTTGGAAAAACGAACACGGAAAGTTAATAAAAAAAAACAATTTGGCATTGATCAAACATAGGCACGAGTCAGGATATGAGTTCAAAATATATGAAATTTTGGAAGCCCAGTCTTAAGCATAAAGTGGTGGTCCAGTATTTCTATATTCTTCTGAATTCAGTGTACCTCCTCTACATTAAGCGGACTCGTATGTCATTAAATAGACAAATACATGTTAGTTTTTTAAACATCAAGTTATGGGACGTTTGTCCTTTGGATTTGTCTATTTTTATACAGATAAAATATGTGCATATTTGACCCCCATCGCACATGATGGAAAAAGACTTCATTTTCACCTTGAAAAGGCGCAAGTTATAGTGCTCAGGGAACTGCATCTGCAGTAAATTCCAGTCCAAACGCCATATGTAAACGTGGAATAACGTTTCGTGTGAATCTTGGGTATTTTATGTCTTCGTCCACTATTACTACGACCTACCCCAGTCTACGTCTTAGTCACTGATATATAGTCAGGGTTTTGTAGATGGGGCGAAAGCGCCATTTCGAAATTTTTTTCAGCGGAGCATGTTTTAGGTTTTAACGACTGTTTTAAATTATTAACACAAAGATCGAACACTCAGAAAAAATTCCTTCGATCCGGCCGGATTCGAACCGACATCTTCTAGCATACCGTGCCAGACGCTATACCAACTAAGACACGGAACGAACCAGCGGACCTCACGAATTTTTCTAAGTGCTAGTTGTCGTGTCTTTTGTATTTGGTTTTTCAGCGACTTTTTAGTCGTAGCGCCATCTATGAGAAATCTATTAAAGTTTTAACACTGTTTTAAAGTTCAATTTTGGTTGTAATAAGATTTAGTGTTTAAAATGGGAATTAAGAAATTGCATAAATATTTTAAAACAGTCGTGAAAAAGTAAAACATGTTGCCCCTGAATTTCTTTTCGAAATGGCGCTTTCGCCCTTTTTACAAAACACCGACGATATCGCACTGCTATTACAATAGTGTTATAACTCGAAATATGTGAAATTCAAGATTATATCATTGTTTAAAGTAAAACTTGATTCTCTACACGTCAATAAAACCGTCGTTACAATATTGTAAAAAACAACTAAAATGTATCTACTTAACTACTTAACTCAAAATCAGACACGCTTTATGTGAGCTAGTTCTGGCCAAAATCGTCCTTATTCAAATCATGAAATTATTTTTCTCTTTTATTTTTAAATATGTATATTTAAAATATACGATACACACATCGCACTGTTAATACAATAGTGTATTAACTCAAAAAGTGTGTTTTCTCAGAATCGACGAAAAACGAATTACGCGCTTCCCGTGAAATATCTGTGTAAATTTGTGTATAGGTTATTTCCTACTTGCCACTTCCCGCAAAAAAATAGTAAAATTTATATGTTATAGTTTGTTATAGACACTTAAACAATTACCCAAATACATTTAAAAGTAAAATGGAAAAAATAATTTCATGTTTTTGAATAAGGAATATTTTGGGCAGAAATAGCTCACATAAAGTGGGTCTCATTTTGAGTTAAGTACATATCTTTTGACTCTTTCTTACAATATTCTCACGGTTTTTTAGACATAATTATAGAGAATCGACGTTCAGTAATGATATAATATTAAAGTTCACATATTTTGAATTACAACACTATTGTAACAGCAGTGCGATATGTACGTTTAGATATACTCTGTTATAACAGTCATTTTTTGATATCCTTGTGTTTGGCACTCAATGGCGATGGTATCTTGAAAGTAGTTGTCATGATCAATCAGTCGTTATTCAATGGTATAGTTTTTCAAGGCACTTCGAGGACACAAGAGCGAAGCACCTTTTGAAAAGTTGCAAAGTCGTGACTAGTAAAATTCACGATTTAACTGTTGTAATCATTACTTATGACATCACTCGTGTGGCAACTACTGTCCCAGATAAATATTACTTTATTGAATCAACTACCTAGATCTCTAGATTCTACTATATCAATAATTCAGTACCTGTAAATCTCTTGTGCAAAAGTCTGTTTACTGACTGACTATACAATAAATAGCTCTACATTTTTAACAAAATGTTATGTTTCTAACTTTACGCTAACTTAGGAGCATATCAATAAAACACACAAAAATTCAAACGTTTATTTAAACAAAATTATAAAGTATTTTAATTGTTTCTGAGACTTACCGTTGCCTGGACTTAATAAATTTGAAAAAGTTTCTAAACCAACAGTTATGTTGAAATTGAAATTAAATTCTTCTGTTCACGTGTCGATCTGTTCATCGCTTGTTACGTACTGGTCAATACATCCTTCTGTGGCCCTAGTAAGTGTTTATAAACTCAACACTTAAGTGATCACCTTGTAGGGTTATCAGTTTGCCTTGACAGCTCCTGCTAGTGTTTACTGTCGATATCCGATGTTTTGAAACACTAGTTAGTGTTTTAACCTCGTCTCTTAGCCTAGTTTTGAAACTTGAGTAGTCTGAACCTACACGATGTGTTTATCCATATGATAGGTATTTAGTATCAACAAATTGAAGTCTTAATGGTCTCGTATTATTAATATGCAGTTAGTTTTTACATTAATTACGTGTTCATAGTTTAACTACGCGTTGTTGCCTTTATTAAATACCTTTCAAATAATATAATTATGATTTTTACGTGTGATCTCCACTTCTTAAACTTGTTACCCCTTTAAAGCGAAAAATATTAGTCGAAGTTACTTTTATAACAAAATTGTTATGACTTGCTCTTTAAACCATCTGTATTCATTCTTTTATCTATCTTAAACACTTCCTTTCCTTTTCAATTCATATGAACTTAAATATGTTTTCTCTTTCATTTCAGGAAAGATACTACGCCTCACTCGCCGACGAAGCCGGTACAAAGAACCTTCCATCAGTCCTGACCAAGATTCGTGAAGAAAGCACCATCCGCTTCATGCATAACCTCAAATACTACCGGCAAGACAAATATAAAATCATCGATGATGACACTTACGAAATCATCAGTAATGATGGCGTTAGAAAAATTCTTTGTTGACCCTAAACGGGAAATTTATAGAATTAGGTTAGGCTTTAGACAAGGTTGCGATAGGTGTAGCAGGTTTTTAAGCATACGAATAGTGAAATAATGATACCTTACCTGAGTTATCGAAATTAAATTCGATTAATATGCTGTAATAGTAAATAATATTTGGATATTTAAATGCTTTTTAAAATAATTTTACGTGGTGTCATTCAAGGTGAAGTGTTAGGCCCACTTATTATATTTGTAGTCGTATGTTAAAGTAATAACTAAGCTTGTAAGTACAAATTAAGTTCCACGTTTGCTCAAGTAGAATCTCTATTACTGTGTATAAACGACCATTAAGATAAAGTGCTCTAAAAGCTAAACATTGTTCCTATGATCGTATAGATATAAGATAAAGTTATTTCTTACTAATTGCCTATTATTTTAGTGTATTTTTTAATTTATTTTTGTGATTAACTGAATACTTTTACATCGAAATATGGACATTAAAATATTTTGAATAAAATAACTTCTTATTTTTGTTTTACATAAAATGAAACACGATATTCAGCCAAAAATATTTTATTTAAGCGTATTTATTTATAATCTTTATATTATTCATGCTGATATATTATTAATCTTTAATGCTAATATTTTTATGGCTTCCCCTCTTGAATACACGCTACATCTAGTTAGGAATAATTCTTAATTAAAACCTTCTTTTCTACAGGTGAATTTATTCACGCAAAAGATTGTTTTAACCGTTCCAAATGAATTAATACCAGTTTAGTATACATACAGTGGGCCGAGCCGTACCTCAATGAGTTTGTACTTATTCATACTTATTTTTTTTTATATTAATTTAAAATAAAAATGTTCTCTATCCATAATATAAAAATACCAATTTCTAAAATATTGTTACCAAATTCGCACTTTCGTTTCTCTTAAGATTTTATAATTCCAATAATATAATTTTTAGTTTTTATTTTTATATTGATAGAAATCAAAGAAGCCTTAACTTAGAACTTAAATTATTACACTTATTAAATTATTAATGATAATAACAAAAAAAAGTATGACGCACTCTAAACAACTGAAGTTTGGCCAGCTATATTTTTGGCCTCAGATTGAAGGCTCCCCACTAATCAATTCGGTCGCATCAAACGTGAGAGCTCGCCTATTACTAGTCTCTGATGTTTTACCCAAGCAACATTCAGTTTAAGTTGATACACATTGAAGTCCAATGTGGACTCTTCTTAATTTGTGGATCGTTAAATTTACCTGCTCGACCAGGTTATGCTGAGCTGTCACACTGCATGCAACATCAACTATCGGAGAGTCTTGAACTTACATTAGCTTACTAGATATCCAGTATGATGAAACAATTTTAAGGCTGAATATTTCCCACTTTTTCTTACAAACCTTTTGGCCGCTTCGTACAAAAACCTATCTAATTCCGACCGCACTCTCGCCTCTATCTATTTCCCTGTCTGTTTCAGTCCCTTTTTGTAACTTCACGATATGAAAAGGATAGCTAAAAATCAGGGCCACATACCCTGTGAAATTATCCACTAATAATTGAAATGAATGACAACATTTTTTGTAAGCGGAAATAAAAAACTTTGTGAAATATCTCGTGTAGGTATATAAACTTAAGAACTAGGATCCACCTATGTACAGTCTTAAACTACAGCGAAAATAATGTAGTATCAAGCTTCTAGCACCATTTCGATAAAGGTATACATTGATTAACATAAAATTATCAACCGAAAAAAAAACATTAAAAAAATACATGTTAACACAACAATACAACAAACAGTTCACCGAAAATGTAAAAACTCTGCGAAAAGTTAAATTTTGTTATAAAAAAAAATTTTTCAAAATTCTCTCAAAACATATGACTACACTGGAATTTTGAATAACAGATGGGACTAGTTGATATAGTATTGCAATATTAAAGATTAATATAGACATTCGATGAGGAGAAACTAATATATAATAGAATATACACGTATATAACTACCTATACACCGAGAGATTACTGCGTTTAAAGTACAAACATCACATGTCATCACCATACGCGGCCTCTTTCCATCGCTGCCTATTGTCCACCACGAAATCCAGCACGTTTTCCCAACGTACATCGTTAACATAACAAAGGGGGTAACTTTAAATGGAGATAGACGGGTGACTTTTTTATAACCGATCATTATAACAACACACGAGGGGCGGCTGAAAAGTAATCCTTTGACTAATTCGTTTTTAAAAATAACACTGGCCATTCTCGTGACGTATTAGCTGTTAGAACTTTTTTTAGCGACGCTGCATGGACAACATGTAAGCAGAAAACGTTTAAATATTAGTAACTATTCTTTTTAAGACTTATGTCCTTTTCTGACAAAAATACAATAAGTGCATTTTTCTTACAGGAATATCGAAAAATCATCAATAGTCGTCTTTTACTTCAAGCTTTGGTAGATTACTGTTCTGCCACGCCTCGTAGCATCTACTAATGGCGAAGGGTGGATATTTAAACTAAATTCAAACTAGCATGATCCCTGTGACATTTCATTTTGACGTTTATCATAGGGATGAGATGAAGTCGATAGATTTTTAGTGCGCTACCGCCGCCGTTAGTTGAAAGGGCGTTTGTGACAAAAACTCAAAACCGAGAAAATAATGTTTAAAGAAGTTAAATTAAAAAAATACCTCCTTTTCTTTTGCGGTAAGTTCATGCCTTATCTACCTAGGAAGAAATAAAAATTGTGACACATAGGCCTTTTTTCCTGATCACGGCAGTAACATAACATTTTTTTAGTCACATGCAGCCTTTCAACTAACGGCAGCAGTGCAATTTTTGGAGCAAAGTTCTCTTATAGTCTTATTTTTCTGATGTACTCTGAACGATATATAAATGTGGAAAGTGTTTTGTATTATATTGAAGGTATTCAAACACACGATTATAATTCGAATGCATTTTCAATAGATATTTTAGTAAATTTCAAAAAACGTTTATAATTATTATCATTAATTTGTAGGTTTCAAAAAGCAATAACACTAACATGTCAATTCATTGCCTGTGGTTAAAATTCATACTTCAAGAATGAATACAAGCACTATACATTCCGTACCTGAGAAGCATTACACTGTAAGTGCTATTTTTGTAATTTTACAGGAGACGCGATTTTGTGTCGAAATGCAGCATGTACATACAACACTTAGAATGGCTTGAAATAAAACTAATTGAGTTTTAATAATATTTCGAGCTACTCTAATTGTCGTACAAACTACTGTTCGACACAAAATCACTTCCCTCGTAAAATTACAAAAATGGCGCTTACAATGTAATGCTTCTCAGTGCAGTGCAATGAGGTAGCCTTTGCACGGTGTCGTAAAAAAAAATAATGAATTTATTAAAAAAAGCTCATTTCTAAAAAATAAATTATTTGGTGTAATTTTAATTTGATGTATTTTTAAACATTTTAAAAGCGAAACTTACAAAATAAATTTTAAAAATACGTAAATTAGTGCACGTCGTTACACGGTTACAATTTGTGGATTTTTATGGACTGTCACAGGGATCATCCTAGATTATTTTTAGCAGACTTCATAAAGACTGTAACGCCTCACATACCTTTTTCGTTTCCTCCACTTCATCCAACTAAGATATGTACGCCGAACCACCCACATTTCCACATTCGCATTTGTGTCGTTATTCCACTAACATCCATTTTCCCTCATATAATCAAAACATCGAAACATTTTCCTTTCTTTCCTAGTCCACTACCTAATACTAAGTTGGAGAATAAATTTATTAGTAAAACCGATATCAGTCGTATAATATGAACCCTTCGCCTCTGGCACCTACCGTAATACAAAAATATCATAGACAAATAGATATATAAATAGGTACCTACAAATACAACTACAAAAATGTTGAAAATTTCATTAAAGAGTATTCGTATAGTTAAAACAGAAAACTTTTGTTCAACGAATTTTGGAACTACACTTTTTCATATTTCATAAAAATCTATAAAAAGATTTGTACAGAAAGTCGAAAATTTTTCCCCGAATTTATTTTTCGTTGAACAAAAGTTCGTCGTGTTAGGAAGTTTCTGCTTTATGATTTTTTTTTTCATAAATAAAACATCAATATCAAGGAATTCATTAATCAAGTAGTTGTCGTTGGCAACGGAAAAATGTTCATTAAAACAACTTATGTTTAACCAAATCCGATGGACACAAATAGCAAAGAAAATTGTGTTTCGTGTTCTTGTCGGTTACCACAAAAAGTCACACATCATCAAAAAAGACGTAATTACAATAGTTATAACAAACGCCTCTAGGAAGTTGAAGGCGTAAAATTGTCACAGATTGAGCCTCAAAAATTCTACATTGTACTTTAAATCCTGTAAATTGTGAAGTTTCGAGCTACTCGTAAATCTGAAATTGATTGTAAAAACTACATAATAAGAACAAACTACTTATAACTCTAACACAGAGATTTCAAAAAACGTGTACTTTCCAAATTATTTGAATTGAAATCTTATTTTTACAGATCAAAAGCCAAACTTCTTGCATTTTAAATGACAAATCAAAGAAACTTCGCCGTCTCTATGTTGGCATTTTTTTCTGCCACAGCGCAAAAAAGTACTAGGAGTTCACAAATATTTAGGAGCTCGATTTATTCGCAAAAGGAATGTCTGGCTCCATCTTCATCGTTTGTGGCGTAGGATCGTAATGCCCGGCCAAGTAGTAGACGTCGTTATTATCGTATACAGTGCTGTACTTAACCGGGTCATCACCCATGCGTTCCTTGTACTGAGCAAGGGGCAACACTTCGCATTTGTGCGATATTGTTTGCACGTCGTTTTCGTCGGTGTGTGGCGACTCGAACAGACCACCCTGTAAATTAAGTAATCGAAATTAAAACTATTGATTACAATAGTCGTAAACTTAGTACACAGATCGTAACTACGAAAAAAGATAAAATCCCGTCTTATAACTAGATGGCGCTGATCGCTAGTCTGGAAGTAGTTTATATTATGTAAATGCCAGTGGATATCAATTAATTCCTTTTTAATACGAAATATCTGTGGTTTGTTGTTTCTCCTTGTAATATTATTCAAATATTGATAATGAGCTTAAATTATTTTTGGAACTGTAACGAATATGCGTATCAATAGATGACATTGTGTTTAACAACCTAATTGAATAATAACCGCCGAAGTATTTTAATAACCGGCATCTATCTCACCACCGCTCTAAATGTCTTCCAACCCTGACGTTGGCGAAATCGTCGCGCAAAACGACGGAGCCATAGATACAAAAGTTGAAGTTGAAGTTGAAAAATTAACGCTTGCTAACATGGGTAGATGGCGCTGATCCTAAACAAAAAGAATAGCGGGCGGTACCCATAAAATATGCGCCATATAAAATATGTACAATGAGCGCCATCTAATTGATCTGTTTGTTATCACTAGAAATTAAAGTAGTTTTGATACATTACAGCTGGTCAATGCAAAACAAATTAGTTGCAAAAATAGCTATTTGGTCGTCGCCACATCTGGTGTACCAACAGGTACTATATACTCGACTATGTTTTCTTGAGTTTACGTTTCCATGGTAGGACACAAGAAAGTGAAAACAACTCACCGGATACTGTAATTGCTCCTGGCAAGGTACAGTCTCCTCCGGGTGATAGAACCATTTTACGCGCACGGCCATGGCTCCGCGTGCCTCCCATAGTGCGACGATCCGACCGATGTATGGTCGATCAGGCCGGCCGGTTGACAGGAATACGGCTGCGTCACCAACCTGGAAAACGACGCAAGATATTTTGTTCACTTGTTGTTTGAATTATTGTATGTCTACTTGTTTTCTATTACTCCCTAAAGGGTTGGTTATTTCAAACCACTTGTTATCTTGTTGATTAATTAACCTGGCCCAGATAGCGCTGTGATGGGGTTGATAAATGTGTATTAACACCTCAAGCATCTGAAAGTTTATGAGTACATAACATCGACCATCCGCCTTGCTTAATATTTCTGGTGTCAGTTTTATTTTGTTTCGAAACCTTCAGGTATATCTAAGACGCCAACTTAACGGATAGCAAACAGGCAGCACCTCAATCTGTATTCCTCATTATTATGATCACAAGTTTTTTTTTATATTCATATATTTATTTTCTACAGAATCTTGTACGGTTTGGGACTTTTTCGTCATAATTTTTTATAAGCTATACAACTCACGTGTAAAGTTTCCTCTCCTCTCTGTATGGCCTTATAGAACAGCTTTCTATGCCTCGGCCTGGCCGTCCTTCGGTACGCTGGTCCTAGCCAGTGCCACAGAGCGCCACCAGGTAAAAAGGCAGCCATTTTGCTCACGCCGCCTCCTACAGCACCACCATCGGATGATGTTGATGAAACTGTGCGGCGTTTGGCTTTCTGGAATGCGTAAACAAGGCGAGTTAGGTATAAATAAACCTGATCGCAGATCTGCTGATTTTTAAGGTCGGGACAACCAACTCAATTACTTTCACGGGAGACCTACGGTCAAAGTCTCATGGTTGGCAACGCATTTAGGACATTAAGGATATTTCCTTAATAGCGCAGAGATGATTTCTTTATGATATGCGTTTGTATACCATAAACCAATTGTATAATGATTAATGCTGTTCAATACACACAACGTACTAACTAGGCAACTGTGATATATCACGGAATGTGCGCAATGAAATAGCATAACATAATTCCGCTTTCCCCTTTCTGTCATCGGGGGATTAGATGTAGGCTGGCACGAACCGTTTCGAACGGCTATGGAGTGGAATTCCCTGTCTGCAGCTTATTCCTTGAACGCTATAACTTGGGTTTCAAGGTGAGCGAGAGTGAGTAGGCATTATTTATGCTTCAACGTCGACATCGTCGTCACTTTCCATCGAGTAAGGTGCGAAAACAAACGCACACTTATTGTTTTGTAAAAAAAAGCATTTATCTCAAAGAGTATAGGTATCATCTACTGTCAGAGGTCTGCCTAACGACAAATAAGCTGACTTGCATCTCGTTATTACAAGCCTTAACAACTCAAATTACAATTAAAAGAAAACATAAATCATCGTTACCTTTTTTGGAACTTCACCAGCTGAAGTGGAAGGTATCTCTTCCTCCAACCCAATACCACTATCCTTCAAATTGTCCTTCTGTCCTTCATCTTTGTTCAACCCAATCTTCCCCAAATTGCTAAAGTCCAATACAGCATTCTTTACCAAACTCTTTTTAGACAACACTGCTTTCTTTATCACCGTTTTCATTTTATCGTCTGGGGATTTCTCTACGGCTATTAAAGTAGACAGTCTATCATTCGAATCCCCAGAGTCTTCATTCGATTTGGAATCTCCGTAATCGGATGACGATTTGTGGCGATGGTGATCGTCACCTGAAGAACTTGAGTGTTCTTTGCAGCTTGAATGATGTCTTTTCCTGTGTTTCCTGTGGTGTTTCTTGTGATGTCTTCTGTGTTTGCAATGTTCTTCACAACATTTGTGTTTCTTTTTCTTCTTTTTAATATGCTCGATAGAGTTTGGATCGTCGTCGCTTGATTGACGTTTGATTTTGTCTTTTCTATGTTTCTTAAGCTTCTTTCTATCTTTGTGTTTGTCTTCGATTTCTATCTTCAGTGGAACCTCCAGTTTTATTTCGCTAGCGGATGTAATTGGTTTTTTGTCTTCGGTCATACTAGTATTTCTTCTTCGTTTGCCAAGCGTGAATAACGGATTTTCATATTCTAAAAAAACATATTAAACAGGTTAATTTAACAATACACATCTGAAATAAATGGTATCTATTTTTATGAAAGCTATAATCAATCAATATGTATTATAAAAATATCAAAATCTAACGGAGACTCACCTACAACAGGGTAATTTGGCTCCAAAAATCTAATATCTTCAATGGCTATTCTGCCCGAATCTCCGTCGTCAAACTCAACTGCCACGAATGTGTCACCATTAGGGTCTGGTGATGAGACGGCGACAGTGCCAGGATATAAGCAACGATATTGTTGCGACCAGTATGCGCAAACTCGGGTATTTGAGGGCAATTCCGCTACCGTTTTTGGAGTTACTTCCAATATCTGGAACAGACACAAGTTATTGATTTTAATAGTTTTATTGCGAATCAAAATAGTTGTAGAGATTTAGTAAGGTTTGATTTAATCACTTAAAAACAATATTCACTTCAAATTCACTTCAAAGTAATATTGAATTCATCAACATTGCATCGTAATGAATCCTTTAAAAACCCATGAATAATTAGAATAATTAGTAAATCAAGTACAGCATAGATATTTTTTGTTGTAAAGAAAGAGAACTTACCGCATCTCTCAAAGTTTCCTCTCTTGACAATATATGAGGCTTGTTCCCTCTTTCTCCATCCAGAGTGATTGCATACACATCGGGAGCTTGCACTGCGCTTAATTTTCCAGCATAGAATAATCCACCCATGGCGGTAAGTACTCTTGGCGATGTATCTAACAAGTTTTCAGTTAAGGTACATCTTGAAATTTGTGGCTTAGAAATAGGAGTCGAGTCTTTAGTATTATCAGATTTGTCTTTAGACTTGACGCTCTTTCTCCTTTTCTTCGCGCGGCGTCTTTCTTTCTCACTGTCACTAGAATGGCTAGCTCTGCGCATAGCAAATTCCATTTCCGGCATATCATCCCTAGAGTGTTTCCTAACCAGTTTTTCCACTTTTTCTCGATTTTTTTGCCGAACTTCATTGAGACTCTCCATTGAAGAACTCGCAGATCTGTTAAGGCCCCACTCATGATCATCTTCTTCAGAATAAGTCTTTAATATCGGCTCAGCTTTCAATTTAGGACGCACTTTACTCGTTCTAGCATCTTCTCTCGATGGTTCACCTCTCGAGCACAATATTCCCCCCTTAAGCTTGCCTTTAGCGAGTAAGTATCCTACGAGCCTGCTCTTTGACTTCGGCTTCTTGGCAACTATAGTTTCCGTCGAATCTGGACTGGATACTTTCCGAGGTCGTCCCACTTTTCTCTTCTTCGATGATCCTCTATCTGAATCAGGTGACAAGGCAGGAGTGGAAGGTGTAGAAGGACCCGATAGCACAGGCAACGGAGGTGTCAATGCGTTGAGTTGAGCTCTCTTTTCGTCACATTTTCTTTCAAGTTCCAGCAATCGTTGTTGCATGTCTTTTTCTACCGCGCTTATTAATGCCTGAGCGTTGACTGTGGGCTTGTGCGAACAATCCGCCGATCCACAGGTACATGCTGTCACTCGTCTTAAACTAGCTTCCAATTCTCCTCCCCCTCTTCTATCATCTTTCTCTCTCTCACGCCGTCTAATCTTTTCTAATTTGTGTCTATGACGCTCGTCTCTGTCATGGCTTCGTTTTCTTCTCCTTTCATTTGATGAATCGCCATCTCTATGTCTTGGTTTGTCTTTTTTTGACTCCAAAGATCTGTCTCTATCTTGTTGTCTCTCGGTAGGACTTAGAATTTCACTCTTAATGAAAGGTCTAGAAGGCATTACTGTGGGACTTTCTTGGACTTCTTGCATTATTCTCTGCTCTGCTAATGCACATAGGAGACCCAAACCATCGAATGACTGTTTATTCTGCTCACTAGTGCTAGGTTCTGTGGCGGGAAACTCGAATCTCCTATGAGATTCCACTTCTGCAGTTCTCAGCGGTGATTTAGGCGACGTCTTTATCATAATGTTTAGTTTCGTCGTTGTTCGCGTATCAATCGTTAACGGAACTGGTTCTAAACTTGGCATATTATTTCCAGGAGTTGTTCTCTCATATTGTTCAATACTATTAGACAACAGTTCGAGGCCGCTTACATCGACTATTGGCCTAGGTAATGCAGTATTTTGCTGTTGTATGGGAGAAGTACTCGCTGTATCAATGATTAAATCATGAGAGCCGCCACTACCACTGCTTGAGTTATCTAAAGCTTCATCTCGTTCTATTGCGTCTATTGCCTTTTCGACAGCACCTACAACTGCTGATGTTGCCAACCCTTCTGAAGAGGAATCTTCAGCGCTGTCTATAGACGGTGGCATTAATGTGTGTGCCTGTACCATAGATTCTTCAGGGAAATGTGCAACACCTACACAGGCGACATCTCTTTCATCTTCATCTGCGTGGTTAGGTGACTCATCTTCGTCATCAATATGATCCGTTTGGTTAGAAGCATCTTTATGAGCTGGGCCTTCAGGAGCCTCAGGTGGTGATGTGGGCGGTGCAGCAGGTGATGTCGCTTGACTTCTGCAAGGCTGCTCTGAGAAGTCGGGTTGGTAGTACATATTCGTCGTCAACAATGGTTGTTGCACAGGTTCAGACACGAAGGTAGGCTGCGGTTTTTCTTGCATTGGCTCTGGTTCGATCTTGATTAAGGTATGTGGTGTAATAAGTGGTTGGATCATTGGCTTTCGTTTGTCCGCTGTGTGAGTTACTGAATGCTGTTGCGGCTGAGGAGCCGGGGCCAGAGTTACAAGTCTAGTCGAGTGCGTATGTGTATGTTGTAATGTTGCTGTCGAGGCGAGTATGTCTCCTGATAGTAACTGGAGGTGATGTGAAGGATGAGGAGCGGGAGGGAGTAGCAATGGTGCGGAAGAGTAGGGCACTCCTCCCCAAACGACTGCGTGGGACAAGTCTGTAGGTGTTGGTAGAAGTAATAAAGCTCCTGATGCCGGGTCCCTGACGAGCTGGAAGCCACCAACTGAGGACATGCCACCGCCGACCGCACCGACTCCACCAACACCCACTCCGCCCACCATCATACTCTCCATTGATACTTGAGCTGAAATTTAAAGAAAGAATAATATTTAAAATGTGTTCAAATTGCTTTTGCCGTTAAAGCATATACATACATGCGTGACTTCTAAAGGTTTCTCAGATTTTTGAAGGTAATTCTATTATGGGTACGTGCAAATGCCGCTCTATAATCTTCATAAAATCTTGCACCACCTAAATAAAGAAATATCTGTCCCGTTCTCAGCATTTCCGTCATAATTTTTCGTAGAGCCAAATCCATAAGGGGACGTCCTAATGACATTCGCGGAAGTCAAATAATGATCATTATGTCAGCCCTTGTTTGCCTCAGGGCAACTAAGTTATTAACAATGACAAATAATACACAACGTACAGCGTAGATAAGCGATGAAGTATGTTAAATTTTAAAGCTTAAAATATGCTGAGAGCAAAGAGGAAAACGAGACACCTTCCTGTAACAGAAAACTTATCATAATAATAACATAAGTAGAAATCAGAAAATGTCCAAATCATCAACATCAAACCATTTACACGTCCCATTGCCGGGCATGGGTCTCATCTCAGGCGACGTCGCGGGTTGGGGACATCACACGTTTTCCACGTTGGGTTGTGAATCTTCTTCGGTGTGCAGGTTTTGCTTGCGATGTTTTCCTTTACCGAAGAGCTAATGGTAAATTTCAAATTAAATTTCGAAAAACTCTTGAGCTGCCAGTCCGGATTCGAACCCTCAGCCTCGGCTTGAGATGCGGTAGGTCAACCCATTAGGCTACCACGGCTTTATATTCTTTTTGCATATCCAAATCAGTGTCTCTTTCTCTTCGTTATATTCATTCAAAATTTTTTTTTTATAATACCAAGTGACGGGACGAACTAGTCGCGCACCTGGTGATAAGCGACACGCCTATTCATAACAGTTGCAATGCCACTCAGAGCTTTAAATCGTAAAGATCTTGGGGACACTGCCACTGCGTCCGTCACCCTGAGACATAAGTTGACAAGTCCCATGTGCCTGTAATTTCACCCGTACCCCCTACGTTTAACAGTGAGGTGCACGAAAAGGGCCCCCCGCACGACATATCATTCCTTTCCTGTACGTCTAGCGTACCCTGAGCAACAATCGGTGAGGATCACACATCGACTGGCAAATTCTTTCACCACGATTAGAATCACGATGATCAGTTTCCTGGATTTTTGTCATTCAGGTTTAGATACGCAGAAACTGTAGTAACCTTTTTTATAGTTTTACTATGGGTTTAAACCTCTAAATTGGCTCATTTCCAAATCAACATCCAGACGATACGTATCCCGAGTACGCCTGGCAACAATCGGCGACCTTACGCCGATTGGAAGATCTTTGCAAGATGGCAAACATCACATGCACAGTTCAAGATGGCGGCTACTTGTGCCGCGATAGTGTATTTCATCGATACGATAAAAAGAAGATTAGGTATCTCCCAAAATTTAAATATTAAAAACCAAATCAAAATTATTGTTTCAGTATGTAATGTCTTTTAAATTTACTTAAAAGAAAGCTTACTGTGTTCGGTAGGCTATGCAACAAACTCGTACGCACGAATGTCAAATTAGAGCGAGCAAACGTACATTACTCGAGTCACTGTTCCGTGAAAACAAACAGCATCCGAAACTCGATAATTATAAACAACAGATTGCTGTAATCGCAGCATGCCGTTAAAATTATGGGTTTCGTAACAAAATTCAAATGAGGTGCGAGTCTAATCTTATTAATTTAGTTTAACTAAAGATTAGATCGCAACAATTGGGTTAATTAATGTACTTTAACGGTCGGTTCACCTTTTTGTGCTGTTAGAATTGTATGTAGGTGATTGAAATGACACCATTGCTACTGTCGACAAGCAACGTGACCATAGGACAATAAAGATCCCGAAACGTCCGAAATATACCTACGCATTTTAGATCCAGGAAACACAGTTTACATTTACGATCGAACGAACCTAAGAACTCTAAATGTATGTAAATATGTCGCGAAATATATAGTCTTAGGTTGGAGGCGATCCAGCAGAATTTCTACGTCTTCTGGCCTATAAAACAAAGCTATTTTGATCCAGTTATAAACAAAGGTGTATTCTTCCACGGTTGGAAGATCGGCGAAATAGATTTCTAAACCAAGTGCGTGCAGGCAAGTTGGTAAGAGCCGGCGAACTTACCACAATCAAATTGAAGACTTCGTAAAGAAAGGCCAGATTAAGACTACGAGTATCTTTTTAATATGAAATATAATTAGAGCTCCTTGCGGATGAGTTAATCCAGGGAAGTACTGCCATCTTACCTATTTCTGCCGTCAAACAATAATGTCAGCATTACTGTGTTCCGGTTTTGAAGGGAAAGGGTGCTGTTGAAATTACAGGCACAAGGGACATGTCAACTTATGTCTTGGGGCCCGTCGCCCCAGTGGTATTGTCCCTGAGATCTTTGCGATATAAAGCTCTGAGTGGCAGTGCAACTGTTATGGACAGACGTGTAGCTTACCATCAGGCGTACGACTTGTCGGTCTCGTCACTTAATACCTAATATAATATAGTCAGTTTTGTTCCTTGTAATATTATTCAAATAGTGATCGTAAAGTACAATTATTTTCTGAACTTTGACAAATATGCATGTCAATAGATGACATTGTGTGTTACAAGTAAATTTATAAATTAACGCTAATATGGGTAACAACCGGCACTATCCATAATAATCTGTGCAATACCTAAGCGCCATCTATTCGATTTGTTTGTTATCACTAAAAATTAGAGTAGTTTTAATACAATGAACCTTGACAATTTAAAACAAATTAGTTATAAAAATAGCTATTTGTCACTCGTCGCGACATCTGGTGTACCAACAAGTATTAAATACTTGAGTATTGGGTATGTCGATGAGTTGGTCATCGAGTATATAACCAGAAATAGAGACGAAATAAGGGCCATATATTCCTGGTAACACATTAGCGGTACAGCTCTTATAAATATCAACTCTCGTTTGCACTGAAATATAGACAGGCCAACTACTGACCTGTGTGTACGTCTCCGTATATTCCAAAAAATATTCTATATTTATTGTAATAAAGATAATATCTCTAACAATGCCGTGCTGTTCTATTCGGTGGTGTGGGAAAAACAGTAAAACATCTAATTACAAAACAAACGGAATCAAATTTCTTCGGTAATTAAATATTAAATATGTAATTTTGCAATTTTCGTCCATTATAGCAAAGCTCAAGTTAACTGGTCGATTTGAAGTGAAACAGTTGACGACACCCATTGACGACACCCGTCAATTGATTCGAATTCGGGCTAGCCAATCGGAGCGCAGTAGTTACAGTAATGATATGGCAGAATAGTTTTCAAACAAATTAAATGACATTTCGTCTCTATTTCTGGTTATATACTCGATGACCCAACTACACTGTCTTGCACCACGATTAGCAGTCCTCTTTAATAGATACCTAAGCCAAAAATACGTAACCCGGACAAAACTGTCATTCGCATCACGTAGTTTTATTCTCTCTTCGGCATCTCAAAAACAATTATCTCGGGTAATTTTAATCGATCCCTGAGGTACGCTCGTTAATCGATGTGTGGCTTGCATATCGATTGAAGAACGCATTGCATGTATGAATAATTTATAAGAAGAAATCAGAAGCGAATTTACACGAAACCACGCATTGTTTATGGTCTATAAACCAGTAAACAAAAAGATTACATTATTTTAGTCCCTTTACAGATTTCTATCTAAATTTCAGGAATTAACACATATAGAATGGATAATACGTTCTGGAATAATTGTATTGCTTTTTGTTCTAAATTTTTGATGTCTAACAAGCAATTACATTACTTGTATAGAGCTCCTTGTGAAAGAGTATCTAGAGAAGTACTGTCAGCTTAACTATTGCTGCCACCAAGCAGTTAATGTGAACATTGGTGTTGGTGAAATTACAGCGGCATGTGAACTTATGTCTCCGGGTGAAGGGCGCAGTGGCAGTGCCCCTTAAATCTTTGCCATTTAAAGCTCTGAGCAGCACTGCAACTGTTATGGACAGGTGTGTCATTTACCACCAGGCTCGAAACTTGTTCGTCACATCACTTGGTATTATAAAAAATAATATTATAACTCAGTTTTAGTGACTTCAAAAGCTTTGTTTACACTTTAAATACTTAGGTACGCAGAAACTGTAGTAACCTTTCCTATAGGTAGTTTTACTATGGATTTAAACCTCTAAATTGCCAATTTCAAAATCATCATCCGGACGATTCATATTCCGAGTACGTCTGGCAACAATCGGCGACCTTTGGAAAATCTTTGCACGATGGCAAACATCACATGCACAGTTCAAGATGGCGGCTGCTTGTGGCGCGATAGTGTATGCCATCCATACGATAAAAAAAAGATTACTTATCGCCAAAAATTTAAAAATTAAAAAACCAAAACAAAATTATTGTTTAAGTGTGTAATGTCTTTTAAATTTACTTAAAAAAAAGCTTACTTCGATAATAGCTTTTCGGTACCTACTCGTCGTCGCGACATCTGGTATGCCAACAGTGTAATTGTCAATGGTACCTACTAGGTACCTTAGCCGAAAACACGTAACCCAGACAAAATTATCATTCGCATATTTCATTTATTTAAATGTTAAGTACTTAGTTATAAATACAATTATATTTACTTTCTGATCCCAGATTATGTTAATAGGTAGCTAACTCAATTTCTCCAAAAATGTCGATTAGTCATGATGATATATAGTAAACTCGCCTAATTACGTGATATATCTAATTCGGTGACAAAATTTTTGGAAACTAATACAAATTTAAATGAAAATTTTAAACTTTTAAAAGGAACTTAAGATAGAAAATCTGGTTCAAATGGAGTTTTACTTGTTGCGCGGACATGCATTTTTTGATCTCACGTTATTTATCTGTTTTAAATAGAAAAAGTGTAGGTATGTATTGCATTAAACCTGTGTCAAGTTAATGGTAAAATCATAGGTTATGCGGTTTATTTAAGAAAATCAACTTATGTTTCATAGTTTTTGAAGTAATCCTCATTTTGTTCACTCAAAAAGTTAACGAATTTTCAAGTTTTCATGACGAGTGATGAACAATGAATTAACTAACATTTTGCGAAAATAGGGCATTTTACAGGCAAATTATAATCCATTTGTATGATCAGAGTGGAATAAAACTGCGCGTGACTTTAGTCCATATAGATCGCGCGACCGGATGCGACAAAAATAAACGTTATTATAGTAGGTGCAACTGATATCACGGTCAAAATATTCCTACACGTTGAATGTTTATAGAGCATCAAAAGAATTCGGTATTCCTTGGACAACTCTTACAGATAATGTTCATCGTGGCAAAGATGAAAAAATACAGATATGCAGGTTTTATCACGGTAAGAGATGAGAAAGTGCACGTGTTTTAACCCGGCTGTTAAGTTAGGGTAAAACCGGGATAGATGCAGTGGGATATGTTCCTCGCTTTCAAAAAACCTAACTTCCCCAAATTGCAACAAAGAATAATTAGTTTAAATAAGAAGTATAGGCACCACTCATCAAAGTTCCTGCAGGGCTTCGTATGGAATAGACGCGTTTGGCTTGTGCGTGCGTTTATCACCGCGACGAACGCGATAAACGGTTCAAAATTTCAAATGCAACTATTTACTGTCGCATAACTTTGTAAGTTACAATAAATTCCGTTTTATTTTTATTATAACCATACACTGGTTCATTAACTGCGCACCTAGGTGTCAATAATCGCTCTTTTGTATATATAGCTAATTTACGTAATAAAAGGGCATCTCCATATCGAATAGGATAGTCTCCTCGATTTTTCGCGGTATAGGTGCCCTTAGGAGCAAATGACAAAACAAGAAAATTAGGAATAGAAAATAAAAAAATACATTACTTTAATGAAAAAGACATGTAAATGATAATAGTTTAAAAGTAAATAAAAGTACCAAAAAGACAAATTATTCACAGTTCAAAGAGAGAACATTTTTGTAGGTATAGAATGTTTTGATAGCTACAAAAATACGAAGTACCTAAAGTTTATTATTAAAGATGTAGTATGTATGTATATACAATATATTAAAGATTACAAATAAAACATTTTATTATGAAATTTACTATTTTATTCTAAAGGACATCTATCCTTCTTAGTACTTTCATTGTGTGGCGTCTATCCATATAGGTAGGCATCTATCCTCAAAAAAATAGGTTTGCAAAAAGTCAATTTCTTCAAAATCAGCAAATGTTAGATGAATAACATCAAGTATTAATGTAATGTAAACGATTAAACTAGTTATATCCATAGGAATTGTCCATGGTAAACTAATAATTTTTAAATTAGGAGGCCCTTTCAAAAAGTGCATCTATCCCGGTTTTATCCTAAATGTGTTAAAACCGATTAATGCCGGATTAACCGGTATATTGCATTTTAACCCACTTCCCAACACGATGTTTTCCTTCATCGTTAACATTGACAAAAGTATCTTCGTGACTTATATAAAGTAAATTTATTACGATACCTATGCCAAGTAACTGGACAAGTGGTGCGTCATAGCAGCTGCAGTGCTTGAATTCGCAAAGATCTGAGGGGCAATACCACTGCGCCCGTCACCCTGAGACATAAGTTTACAAATCCCATGTCGGCACGTAATTTCACCAGCAACACCCTTCAAAACCGGAACTCAGTACTCCTTACATTAATGCTTGGCAGCAGAAATAGGCAAGGTAAATGCCGTCAAATTTTCAATTGAGAAGGCTACCACCGCGGTGTACAGCTGGTTGAACCATCGATCTTGGGCTGACTAACTAGCGTAACAGGCATTACGGAAATTTTTTCAACGTACCTAACGTATTTTCGGTTTAGCACTTTCTATCTTGGCCGGTGTATGTAGGTAATAGCTCAGATCAAAGTCGTTGCGGTAATGAGTTATATATATAAAAATGGTTACGACACAGTTACGACAAAAATGCCAGATACGGCGGTTGGCAAGGAAAGGGAAAAAATTAGTTCAATAACCAAACACACCGTTAATGAACGAAGTCATTGCCAACACACTAGCACAGCGTGTACTTATTAATTAATACTGTTTCTTTAAACTTAATACAACACCTTTAACGTATTTTTTATCGACCCACAATCAATTAATCGCCTTTCACGTACGCTATCTAAAACGTCATTAAACAGCAATTAAGACATTATATAATTACCTTATTTTTGAAATCGCGTGCGGTGTCAAATTCCGAAATGTAACGGCAACCCATAATCGCCATTATGCCATAACGGATTCAGAATAACATGAAACGTAAAAAAAAACTAATTCCCAACACTAAAACAATTGAGGCGGCGGATATCAGAGACCGCCTTAAAGGCGCGGCGTGCTTGGATTGGTTGGTACCGTAAAGTGGGCGGAGTTTACTTGCGAGATTAGGGCTGACCGCAACACGATTCCAGTTTGTCGATAAATGGAGTTTTTATCTTAATTCACTTTTTTTTTATAATTGTTTGTGTCGGGGAAGTGACGGTTCCGCCCGTGTGTTGTGTGAAGATGGTTTCGGCTAAATGATTTTTAATTACAGTTGCTAATGAAGTGCTGTTTACGGAAAATCCCAACTTTTTAAATATTGTAACGTATCTACTAACTTACGTACTACGACAGCTACGAGAAAGAATTAAATAAAAGAACTATTTTAGTCAAATTTCATAGATATGAGCTTCCGTACAAAAGCATTATGAAAACGAAGGCAAAATAGCGTATTTTGATAATTATTGAAATATTTTATAAAGCATTCTCACTGAAACCTTTTGACACTTCTGAGCTGGGGCCTTACCATGAACTCTTATTACAGTTCAGGATACCTAGGTTCGTAACGACAAAAAAGCAGGATGGTGATATTACTCTTCATGTAGCGCTGTCTCACAACGATTCATTTTAGGTGCTAAAATAAGAATCGTAAGGCCCCTGGTCATTTTCGATCACAGAAATAAAAGCAATAAGTACGCTCTAAAATTCTCCATTGTCACACAATTTATACCTCCAACGTAATAAATAACCGTCGTATCTGACATTTTTGTCGTAACTAAGGCGTACCATCTCACTAACCTATCAAAAGTGGTCATTCTGCTCTAATCATCGCGTGTCTAATTTTTTTTATATGAATAAAATTCAGTGATAGCACGAACACAGCTTGGACACAAGCCACAGGTCAAGTGTTCACGTGCGGTTACGTTGTCATGAAAAATTTGCTTAGTTCTAGTTACGACAATAAGTCAGCAGAGAGACAAATTGACAGTTTTCTCTTTGCTGACCAATTACATACCTATTAGTGCCTAATATTTATGACGAAGCTACGAACAAAGGCAGGTTTGTTATTTGCCAAAATTTATTTCATGAAATCTCGTTAATGACAATGGTATAGTAAAGTTTAAACAATTTGATGAGATGATTGATATCTAGTATAATGGTATAAAAATAAGTGATAATTTCTAATACTAAGTACATTCAACGTTAATTCTAGAGTGGGAAAAAACAGAAACAAAAGACAAGGCAATAAATAAACATGATCAAGTTATAGGACAAAAATCTACCTATACACGAATTGGACTTTGTTGATCGAGATATTTGTAAGAAGATAGGTCTCTCTCATTTATTCTAAATTATTTTAATGGAATTATTTCTTTTTAACTGCAAGAAAGAGAAAGATAGTTAAAAGAAGTCAAATCGAAAGTGCATGAGGACAGCTGTATGTGACATTTAGTCGTAACTGCTTGCTTACGACTTACGTACGACCTTATTTAGGCTTCATCAAAAATTCTGTAATACGTCTATATTTTTTTATATATTAACACGAGCTATATAGCTTAAGATGTAAAGTGTTGAACAGACGATATTGTAAACGAAAATGGTAATTTGAACTAATTAACTTAATCTTTGTTTATAACAAGTTGAATTGTAGAAACGAGTACAGCAAACAGGAGTATTTTTTACGAGCAAATAAATAATACGTAAGTTAGTTTATGATCTTATGAATAACAATTTATAATATTTAGTTTGGAGATAAAAAAAATCATAACAAATAGTGGCGCCGAAGGCGTCAAGGCAATTCCGTGCAAACTCCATGAATAAACTGCCGATTTTGAGTGACAGTCACCTGCATATAATACCTTAGTATCAAGAATACAACTAAACATGGTTGTGTATCCCCAAAGTAAAGGACTACTATTGACCGGATAAATTTAGTTGCAATGCCGTTACCAAAGCACCAGAACTAAAGAGGTGCTGTTCCAAAATAAGCGGGATAACTGTTGATACTCCGACAAGGCTACCATTGAACACATGAGCGGTGGTGTCTTAAAAGACGAAGGGACGAGGTGCGGGGCGAAGGGGTTGTTAAATTATATGGCTGAAGTGGAATGTATTTTAAGTACAGTTTTGTGCCGTGTTCGATTGTAACCGTGTCGAGCAGGAAGGAGCTGTCGCGTTGCCGGCGGTCTCGCAATGCAGTTGGCGCGTAGCTACCAGGAGAGCATGAATCGTAAGAGGTGTGTCTTACCAGTGGGGTACTGCCAGAGCGGAGCGGGGGGCGCGGGCGCGGGCGGAGCGGGCCACGCCAATGGGGCGGAGCGGTCGTCGCAGACCATGTTGGCCACGCCCACCGTCATGGCCGCCTGCGCTGCGTCTGTGGCGGAATGACAACAGAATGACGTGGTGCCTGCAAGGCGCAACACGTGTTACATATACTTTATGGTTGAAGTTAATTATTATTGCGCGATACTTGGAAGGGCTGTAAAAATAAATCGGCTTCGTCGTTAGGATTCTGTCTTGGCTGTCTGGCTCAGGTTGCTCCACGTGACATTTAAAAAGTCTTCACGCTGCCTTCTACCTACATTCGAAGAAATAAATAACGACAAACTTATATTGCATCATGATCTAGGATCAACGCTTGTGACCTCTACGTTATTCCGACACGCTTAATTATTATTAACCACCGTTACGTACAAACTATAGTCATTGTTGCATTTCTGCGCTCTATTTGTTACTGTAAATTTAATTAAGTATTTCGATAAAAATGCTGTCAAACCAATCGATTTGTACAATAAAATGATCTCTTCTGCCGTTTCAAGAAGGCTAAGAAGATGCGAAAGCCTTTTATAGCAATTAGGTATAAAAACATAATATACTAGGTCTGTAATAACCTACGACTTTCCACACCATTTTGATATTTAACATGACCACTGTGACGTTATCTCTGTTTGAAATGCCAAATAGGTACGATAGTTCGACCAACTTATCTATCGATCGACTTACCACAGCAATAAAAGGAACTAACGATACCACGTTCGTTCAAGTGACAGTTACAATGATTACCAGTGTTACAGGTCATAACTACAGATAAATTGACGAATTTCTAGCACACAACCTGCCTATAATAACTATCAAGGTACTTTCGAAACTGGAATCCAGCACTCTATACACCTCTTCTCGTAATCACACATAAAGATTTACCTAATTGAATCTATTCGAGCTCAAATGCAGTTTTTAGATGAAATATTGTTCATCAATTTTATTTAAGTTTGATATATTAGCGAAGGATCGCAAACATCTTTAATTGAATTGGTTAAGTCTTCAACACGACGATTTGGGGCTACATAACGGGCAAAGACTTACCTTAGTTAAGAACATAAGTTCTTATTTCACTGTTCGAAATTCAGCTGATTTTAAACCGATCCTAATTTGAAAAGTAATTTATTCAGCGCGTTATTGAGAACCAATGGCGCGTTGCGAGGGTTTATGGTGCTCGCCGACTGCCGCTTTTAGGGTTTCTTTTTTAAAATTTATATTTGTGGTTTGTGATTCTCTGATTTGAGTAAGGAAAGAATTATGTTCCTCTTTCTTATACTAATGTATAACGCGATAATTGTAAATGAAGGCCTATTAAATGGAGCAATGTGGAAATCTTTTTAACACTACTGACAGAATCTTTGATATTATGCAATCCTGGCCACGACTGACCTTTGAATCAGGTTTACGGTCTCATAAAACATCAAACACTTAGGAAAAAAGATATTTCAAATGACAAAACACAATCGATTCAATGTGAATTTAGAGAATTCGATAAATTATATAATAAATTTATTGATTGCTACAATACCTCTAGGTATAAATACTCCAGGTATAGCCGAGTAAATGACTCTATTACTCCAACGAGAACATAACTAGCCTTTCTAGCTAAATGTAACAACTAGATCAATGGATTAGATTCTGTGCTGTTCTAAAACAAATAATTTTTGCGGCAAAATTTTTCCAAGCTGTTTTCGATCAGTCTTATTGATTGATACTTTTACCCTGATCCTAATGAACGTGTCGTTTGACCACTCGAATATATTTTAAAATCTTTACAAATAAATCAAAGTGTACCCAAAATCATAATCGATTATCATCGTCATTTGTGAACACAAAAATCTCTGGATGCGATTTTCGTAATGTTTTTAAGAAATTAGGCCGGCGAGCCTCCAATGTTTTTTGCCGCCTTCATTTTATCTTTTTTTATTACCGAAATATTAAGCTTCCATTCCTAACCTTTTTTTTTATTGTAATAGGCAATTGTCTCAAAAGATACTGCAGAAAATACGTTAATAAATATGCAAGCGCCAAAGCGAATAATACATTAATGATTGCTCCAAACATCAAAATCTAGAATCAGGATATCTTGAAGGTCAAAGTGGACAGCCAAATTCTTGGCACACGTGTATCTTCCTCGTTCACATCTTCATTTTCCAGCTATTGACTTTGTGGACATAAATCTATCTGTTTCATGTGTACTACTCGTACACTCTAATGGTACTCTACTCATTAGGAAAACAGAATAGACTGAGAATTATAAACACGAAAGGACTGAGGTCGTTTTTTAAATGCAATGATATTCACAAATTGCAATTGATTAAGTGAAGAAAACAAAACTGTCCCCTTTTTTCTTCTCCCGAAAAAGAAATCAGTAGTTTTATCTCTGCATTGTTCTCGCTCGGTTAGTGTACTGGAGAGATCGTATACCAGATTCTGCGTCTTTTTACGCTTATAGCTAGCTAATCTATTTTTCCAATTCTTAGTTTAATTATTCCTAACGCTCGTGGAAAGTGGATTTTTAACGATATCACTTATAACTAACGAACTTGTTTCTTATAAAAAAATCCTCAGAGATTCTCTAGATTCTCGTGACATCCGACCTGGCACCGAACTGGTGAGTTATTTTAGACGCCTTTACCATTAGGTCAAAACATAATCTAAGATTAAAGCGAGATAGGAGCTTTTCTTACTTGTTCTATACCTATGCCGCTCTCTGACACTATTAAACTTCGCATGATCTCATCTCTTGATCTTTCATACCAAATTTCCAAACCTACTCAAGATTTACACGTACCTGTAAATCTTGAGTAGGTTTTGGAAATCTGGTAACCTTTTCAAATACAAATAATTTTTTTGCTAAATGTTAAGGTTACCATTGTAATCGTTCTTACTCACAATGTAAATTACTGTTGCGTAAAATTTGTTAAATTCTTTCTTAGACACGCCATGACTGAGTATTTTTGCTTACAATGAAATCACGCGATGTTGTGCTTTGTGACATGTGTGAAACCTAAAAACAAAACTAGATCAGATATTTATTGAATTGGAGAAAATATGTTTACTAAATTTCTTCTTCGAGTTATTGAAGAAAGACACTGTTTACTACGTCTGGTAAATTATTTAAATGACTGACAAAATAAAAAGCAAGAAAAAAAGTTGGCAATAATCGCACACATAAATTTTAAACACTTAATTAAATACATTAAAATAAAATAAATGAATAAACTTCTGGCCGAATTTGCATTTAAAATAAAAAAAGATAAAATCCAAAAAAAACAATTTATTTTCTCACGAAACAAATTCCCACAATGAGATGTAATATCGGAGCGGCAGCGGGCGCGAGGAGGCAAAAAGAAGATTATGAAAGGAAGCACGTGCTGGTATCACTGTCTCTTTCTTTCATAGAGCGTTGTCTCTGTCGGCCAGTAGTATATGCACAGAGTACTTTAAGAGTAAGACACCGCCACCTTGGTAAACAATCTCTATAAATATCTGGTGATTATGAACATTACAGTTATGTATTTTTACAAACTTTTGCGGATACTCATATCGATTTTAGTATTTGTTTAACTTTTATAATTTTTGTTGGCTTTAGTCTATCGATAAATTATTTATTATTCTTCTTAATACAATTTTGATTATACTTCATATCTTCTACTTTACTTACATTTAATTATTCATTCATACATAAATAATTTAATTTACAAAATAACATTATTAGTCATATTGGCTCGTTAATGTTTAGTCTGTATTTACACTACTCTACGCCTCTATCAGTTGACCTTCACCGATGGCGTCACGTTCCAGCGCCTGCATTCCACGCATACATCTATCTCACTCGCACTTAGGGCACGCCAGTCGCCTGGCGCTTCGCCGAACCTCCTCGTGGCCGCTGTTCGCCTAGTATCACGCGCGCTGAAGAAAAGGGTTTATCCGACGGACAATGACCCGGATACACATAGGATTTTCCGACCAAAAGAAATAAAACAAATTTTCACGCAGAAAACTTGGCTTATCCAATATTTCAGGACCATTAATAATTGAACTGATAACTAATCGATTTTGTCGTAAAGTTTAATTAAATACAGATTGCATCGCGCGACATTTCGATTGGTACCGACGAAGTTTTTGGATATTTTTCACAATGAAATCTAGGCCAGTTGATAGTGTCCCTGTTTCTATTAAAATAACCTCACGTCTGGTTGCATGGTCAGCGTAGTGAGCCGTATCGTAAATAGACTGTCGTTCCGTCGGCGCGTCTAGTCTCTAACCGGTAGTTAGCGCTAATGGAACACCGGTCATTATAGGGAATAGCTATCGAAGCTTGATATTCCTATCACGAACTAAAATTACCTTAAAATCAAAGGCACATTATTTTTAAATAGCAACAGTATTCAACAAAAACAATTATCAGCTTACACGCATCATTCCTTGCACGTAGATACGATTAAATAAATACGTAGCAGAAGAGCTCCTTGTGAAAGAGTTCGTCCAAGGTAGTACTGCCACCTTACTTCTGTGGCCAAGCAGTAATGTCAGCATTACTGTGTTCCGATTTTGAAGGGTACCTAAAGGTGCTCGTGAAATTACAAGCACATGGGACTTGTCAACTTATGTCTCAGGGTGCGGGCGCAGTGGCAGTGCCCCTCAGATATTTGCAATTTAAAGCTCTGAGTGGCACTGTAAGTAAATGTCATGGACAGGCGTGTAACTTACCATCAGGCGCACTACTTGTAAGTCCCGTCACTTGATGTTATAAATTAAAAAATATATATAAAAAACGTAGTTTATGTTAAGTTCGAAAAGTCATTTAAAAAACAATGGAATGAATGAAATTCGAATTTGTATGCTCGAAGAGTTAAAAAACAAAAACCCCTAAACGAGCTTAAGACTAATAATGAAACATAGCTTTTAATTTAAGCACAATAAAGATGAAACTCATCGGCAAATAGTTGAAGGAATTTATTTAAATAATAAATAATCAGGGTTTTGAAAGTGACAGTGTTATACAAAAAGGTACCAGGGCAACAGAGAAGGCAGATGGTTATTCGAACACTGTCGGTCGTCTATCGGACACGTACCCTGCGA